TAAATAATAAATATCAATGTTATTTACCAAATTAGTTGTGTATATTACCCAAAATGTGAATAAATAAAAGCCATTCTGATTAATCCTTGTTTCAAATTGAATAGGCATCTCTCTCTCAGCAATTTTATTAATTGTTCATGTACAGATTATTATTATATTTTCAATTATACACACAGTGGTGTCAGTGGTTTTCTCATTAATATCCCTATCATTGTCCCTGGTCAATTACGAAGAGATGCCTATTCAATTTGAAACAAGGATTAATCAGAATGGCTTTTATTTATTCACATTTTGGGTAATATACACAACTAATTTGGTAAATAACATTGATATTTATTATTTAATCAAAACTTGTTTAACAGGAGGTTTGCGTAAAATTTATCTGGCGCATTTTTATGATAGCGGCCCGTGTTTTAGCGCTGGCCCTATTAGCCAGCGTGTTTCGATTTTGCATGGCTTTGGTATTTATTGCGCTTTGGTCAATTAGGATTGCCATGATGATTTATTTCGATATAAATCATTTGAAGCAAATTATCATCAAGATAATCAGTTGCAATATTAAACTCACCGCGGTGGAGTGGAAACAATTTAGAAGTTCGGCGTGTTTAGCCTACGTGCTTATATTTGATTACCATAATTCACGTGATAAATTGTCCGGCAAGCGATATATTTATTACATCATCGTGTTTGTAGAGAACTTTGGTTTAACGTGTGCTTGGTACTTTACCTGTCCGGACGGCCTATGGTATAAATCGTATGCATTACACGCAGAGATTATATGCTTTTTTGTCGGCATTTCTATTATGGTAAGCAATTGTGACAAATGCTATACAATATATTTTTAATATAAATATAAATAGTGTGACACAATAGACTAATAAATTAGTTTATAGTTAAAAATCTATTTTAATGTTAAATAATATCGGTTAAAACTTGATGGTGATATTTGGCCACCCTATTTAAATTGATATTAAAATGTTATAAAATTATTACAAAATAAATATTAGATAGGTAATTGTTTATTTATTATGCTATTATAAAAACATATATTTTATATAACAAATGTACCCTATTAATATGCTAATATTTTTTACTACAGTGTGCACATTATCATTGGATGTTTTCGAAATTTATTCAAAATTTGATCAACGCGGCCGAAGCAAACGATTCACGCAACAATATTGTGGCAAATGGTCACTCCACCCAAGTGGCCAACAATGAGCATCAGGGCCATTCTGGTCAAGTACATGAATGATGAGCACATCTATGACAAAAAAGTGGTTAAATGTGTAATAATGTAGTCTATAATGAAGAATACACTCAATGAATTATATCAGGGAATTTTTATTTTATAGTATTAAAATTTTTAATTAAATAACAATATACAAATTCAATGTTTTGCTCAATTTTAACATTTTATTATATAAACGAATTTATTATTAGTAATAATAATTTATTACAATAGGTTTTTAACACAATTTTTTATTAAGATATTTTAATGTGTATTTTTGATCGCGATTTTGTACTTTTAAACATGTTTTTAATTAATTAATTGTTTGATTAATTATTTAAATATTATACCAAAACATCTCTCAAAGTTATACTCAATTCGTGTTTTAATTAATTGTTTTTTATTATAATTTAATTTTGTCACTAAATAATTGCAATTATATTATTATTATTAATTGAATATTGTCAAAAAATTGAAATTATTTTTATAATAATTTATTTGTATTTTATATTAATTTTATAAAATAATAACAATATTAATAATAATGAGATTCTGTGAACAAAACAAAACATAAAACTTAAACTCAATTTTTACTACTAATTAATTATAAATATTTTTATAACAAAATATAATGTCATTAATACTAGGAATAAAATTATAACAATTATTATTTTCTATTATATAAACAACAAAACTTTTGTATAAACTATTTTCCTATTGATTTACTATTAAAAAGTCTATTAAACCTATGAAAATATTAATAAACATTAATAAAGATCAACATGAACAATTATTAAAAATTTAACTGTATTAATTTGGTCAATCCTGACTTTGGCACATACGGAGCCGAGACCTAAAATATTTTGTTCAATCAATACTAACAATAAACACGTAAACAATATTGATAATAATTAAATTAATGTTTAAACAATTTTATTAAAAGCATAATAAAAATATTAGCAAAAATTTGTGATTTTAGCATTATTATTATTAGTCAATATCAATCAATTGATTGACATAAAAATGCACACACGTCCACATTTCTGGCCACGATGGGCCAAAAGTATGGTTCTATTATGGCTTTTGATGAGCTCCGTGGGTATGTTTACGCCCTCTCTTTGGCAGGTGGCCACTAAGCACGCCACCACCTTGGTTGTTTGGGTGTAACGGCACTGGCAGTTTTTGAGGTATTGAATGCGCAGAACCACGCCCACCAGGAACACCGGGTTTGTTTGGCGGCGTTGCCAATTGACCAGGCACCAATGATAATAGCGCGAGCAAGCTAAACAGTAGGACTATCTTGTTCATTTTAGTCACTATTATACAGTATATCACTATTATTGTAGTTGCTGTGATTGTGGCTGTAATGGCGACTTGTAATTTATTAAATAAACACATATGGCATGTATTGATTAAATTAATTTTATTAAATACTAATGTATATGCAATTAATGTTATCCATAAATTTATAGTTCCCAAAAATAAGTTCAATATACTTAAAAGTTTAAATTAATACATGTTTTATACTATTAATTTAAGACATCGGCGCTAACAGACATGTAATCCGTGGCCTCCGAACCTGATATAGGGGTTAAAACTAAGACATAGATTAATAAATGTCTAAAAATGCCATTTTAAAAATTATATTTTTTAAATAATATATAAAGTGAATAGTTAAAGTAAAATAAATTATTTATAAGACACTAGATGGTGAAATAGTTGTGCAATATTTTACACATGTTACATATGAAAATACATACGAAAATATAATGAGTAAATAATCCATAAAATTATATTTATTTAATTACAATTTGGTGTTCAAGAAAACAACTCTTGGAAACTATCAATTCAAACAAATTGATATTCAATGATATTTGTGGTGAAAATGTAAACCAAATAAACGCTAATATAATCACTTTTGTTCGGATACTTTTGCTATGGTACTTTTGCCCGGGTTATAAACAATGTTAATGGATGTCTAAAGTGAAGTAAACGTAATGAAGTATTACTATAATTTGTATAAATATTATTAATTAATACAATTACTAATTAATAATAATTAAATTAATAAAGTTAATATTTCTAATTAATTAATAAGATCTGTGGCAAGTTGCTCTCTCTCTCTCTCTCTCTCTCTCTCTCGCTAATACAAATAAGTAATTATGTATTTATATTACATGATTAATGTCACGTAATGCATACATCGTAAGCACATAATATAATATTGTTTGTTATCTATT